GAAGCGTGCCTTAGTCTGCTTGTGCTGCTGTAACAAAACCCTTCTGGCAGCTGGAAGTCCAAGATGAACGTCCTGTTTCTGTTTCTGGTGAGGACTCCCTTCCTGGCTTGCTGATGGCCACCTTCTTGCTCCGTCTTTGCCTAGTTTTCCTCTGTGTGTGTGTGCAGAGGGAGGGAGGACTCTGGTATCTTTTCCTAAAAGGACAGGAATCTTCTTAGATCATGTTTTTGACCCTAATTATGTCCTGAATGGCCCCATCTCTAAATACAGTCACATTGGGGGTTAAGGTTTCAACATATGAGTTTGAGGGGCAGGGAGACACAATTCAGCCCCTGGTGGAGGTGGTGGTACAGACCTGGAGAGAGTACCCAGAAGGAAGGAATCCACAAGTGACCTGTAAGTGCTTCTCAGGCCAGGTGGGTAGAGAGGGCCCTGGGGGGTGATGGGTGCATGAAGCTTGGAGGGGTGGGAAGGGAGAGGATTCTGTGCTCAGGCCTGTTGGCAGCCAAGGCTCTGAAGCTTGTGAGCCTTTAGGAAAGAGGCTAAGAGGCTGGAGCATGGGGTTTGCTGGTTTGGAGGGGTGAGTGCATGAAGCCTTCTGCTCTCCCTTCTCAGATCCAGGGACTGCTCCCCAGGGCAGGGTTTGGGGGCCCACTTCTAAGTTCTGGCTTCATATGGCTTCAGTGCCTCCAGGAGGGGTCCTCCTCCCTGGCCCTGACCTGTGATTTGTCTCTCTCTCATGCACCTGCGGCCAGTGGACACCTGCTCTGCCGTGGGCTGCTGGGAAACATTTTCTCTACTGGGTATTGTATCCTGTACTCCCGTTTTTTTTACCATGTTGATGTACTCCGATGTTTTCTATACTATCTCAATAAAAATGCTGGTTGGTAGTAAATTAATTGCATTACCAATCAACTATTGAGTGGTGACCTGAGCTCTGAAAAACTGACTTTTGTCCAAATTCCTTACAGAATCTGCGTGGCTCTGTGTGGTCTGTTTCCAGCTTCATCCATCAGTACCAGCCCACCTCCAAAAGACATGTCTTCCTCTGCACAGACCACTCCCTCCCAGGTGAGACAGGCATGCCACGGGAGGGCCTCAGACCTCAGGGGTCAGATCCAGCCCAGGCTCTTCCAGAGTGCTGAGTCTGCAGCCCTGCAGGGCTGGCCAAGTATCTGGAAACACCTGCACTCTGGCAGTGCCTTGAACCTAGAGACCGCTCTGGGAGGTGGCTGGGGACCCTCTACCTGCCTGGGGGATCACCCTCACACACCCCACATGCCCACCTAAGTTAGGCAAAGGCCCTAAGCAAATGCAGCCTCTTTCTCTTCCAACCTCTTCCCAAGATTTTGGGGGTCCCATCCACGGCCCCTGTAGGGGAAATTCAGGAACCACCACTCCTTCCGCATATCTCTCAGCTATACCGATTACTGCAAATTAATTATTAGCTTCAAAAAACATATTTTCTATTAGAGTATGAACCCAGCTCCCACACTCAGGGCGGAGTGTGTGTATCTGTGTGTGTGAGCTTTCCATTGGAGCTCGATAAATATTTGAATAAATAAAGGGCTGCTTTAAAGCCCATTAAGCAACAAAAAAAAAAAAAAAATAAAGCCCATTAAGCTTCCACCAAGATGCAATTTGAACATAACCTGGAGGTTAACTAGGGAGCAACCGAGAAAGGCAGGAATATGAGTCGGGATTGGAACACAGATACAGGGTGAGTGTAGAAGGGAGGGGGCTGTATTACACACATGGTACAGAAATTTAGCCCTTGCACCAGGCAGGCCTCACATCACATCTCAGCTCCATCATTACCAGTTGTATGACCAGAACATGCGAAGTGAGGCGTGTGGGCTGTGACAGGCTGTGGGGGTTCTGACCCCCAACTTTGCCACCTGCCGGCTGAGTGATCTTGACGGATTACCTGACACCTTATTCCTTCGGAGAGTCGCATATGGGAGTTAAATGAGCAAAGTGCAAAGCGCTCAGAAAGTACTTGGCTCATGGCACGCTTAAAATAAATATTATTATTACTCAACCTTTCTGAATCTCAATTTCTTACTCTGTAGTAACAGGTTGCAGGCTGATTTTTAAATGGAAAGGAAATAAATTTGTAAGAAGAAATCTCACCAAACAAGACTCATTTTGCCTGAGGTATTCTCATACATTCATTTTTATACCAGCTCATTAAAGAAAAAGACGAGTGCCCAGCAAACTGATTTCATGATCCATTCATGGATAGAAATTTAAGATGAAAAATCCCAGCCTACAGAATGTGCATGTGTGTGTGTGTGTGTAAATTTTAGCTCCGGTATAGTTAACATAACTGGTGTTCTGTTAGTTTTTGGCGTACAATATAGTGATTTGACAGTTCTGTACATCACTCAGCGCTCATTAAGGAAAGTGTCCTTTTATCCATCTCCTATTTCCCCCATCTCCCCATCCGCCTCCCCTCTGGTAACCATCAGTTTGTTCTCTATAGTTAGGAGCCTGTTTTTTTGTGGATCTCTTTTTTCTCTTTGTTCATTTGTTTTGTTTCTTAAATCCTACACATGAGTAAAGTCACATGGTTTTTCACTTCACTTAGCCTTATACTCTCTACCTCCATCCATGTTGTTGCGAATGGCAAGATTTGATTCTTTTTATGGCTGAATAATATTCCATTGTATAGATATACCACATCTTCTTTATCCATTCTTCAGTCAGTGGACACTCAGGCTGCTTCCGTAATTTGGCTATGGTTGTCAACGCTGCTCTACCCATAGGGGGGTGTGCATCTTTTTTCAAGTTTGTGTTTCTGTTTTCTTTGGGCAAATACTTAGTAGTAGAATTACGGGATCAGATGATAGTTCTAGTTTTAATTTTTTGAGGACCTTCTACACTGTTTTTCACAGTGGCTACACCACTTTGCATTCCCGCCAATAGTGCACGGGGGTTCCTTTTTCTCCACATCCTCACCAACGCTTGCTGTTTCTCGTGGTTTTGATCTTAGCCATTTGGACAGGTGGGAGGTGATACGTTGTAGTGGTTCTGATTTGCATTTCCCTGATGGTGAGTCTACAGCATATATTTTTAATAGACTTTATTTTTCGGAGCAGTTTTAAGGTCACAGCAAAATTGAGCAGAAAGTACAGAGAGTTCTTGCATACACCCTGCTCGGCACATGCTCAGCTTCCCCCACTATCTATATCCTGCGCCAGGTGGCACATTTGTCACAAGTGATGAACCTACAGCGGCACAGCATTATTGCCCAGAGCCCAGAGCCCATAGTTTACATTGGTGTTCAGTCTTGCTGCTGTACATTCTGTGGGTTTGACAAATGTACATGTATCCACCATTACGATATCATCAGAGTAGTTTCACTGCCCTAAAAATCCTCTGTACCTGCCTAGTCACCCCTCCCTCTCAAATACTTTTTAAAGGTATTATTTATTTGAGAGAGAGAGAGAGAGAGAGAGAGAGAGAGAGAGAGAACGAGCGCACAAGCAGGGGGAGCAGCAGAGGGAGAGGGAGAAGCAGGCTCCCAACCGAGCAGGGAGCCCAACGTGGGGCTGGATCCCGGGACCCTGGAATCATGACTTGAGCTGAAGGCAAACGCTTAACCAACTGAGCCACCCGGGGTGCCCCTAGAATATTTTTTTTAAAAAACATAGTCTCCAGGTCACAGATGATGCTCAATAATTTGCAGTGTAGATCATGCTACAAGCTATTGCAATGGTACAGGCGTATGAGTGGCTGAAAGACAGCTGTGGCCACAAGCCCAGAAGAGAGGGGAGGGTGTGGGAAGGGCCATCGACAGAATGGGGAATGGGGGGGGGGAGAGGCAGGAGCCTGGGGATGCGAAGGTTCTGGAGGCTAGTGGCAGTGGCGGTGGGCTGCGGAGAAATGGGGAGTGGTGGGCAGCGAGGACTTGGAGGCGGAATTTCACCCTGCTAACCGGGCGTGGATCAGTCGGCCAGGACCGCAGGGAGCTCCGGGGACTCAGTGGCGGCCAAACCGGGCTCTGCGTCCCGGGCACCGGGCACCGTGCAACCTTGGGCGAGTCCCTTCCCTCCTGCAGGGGCTGGAACGGATGTGCTCGCTGCGCGCCTTGGGGCGAAGGCGGAGAAGGGCCGCCCACAGCCCGCAGCGTTGGGGGGCGCAGGGAGCCGGGAGGACCCGGCGGGCGGGGTCTGGGGGAGTCTGGGACAAGGGGGGCGGGCGCGCAGGCGGAGCAGCCTCGGAAGGGGCTTCCTGGGGCTCGCGTGCGGGCCGAGCAACAGGCAGCGGTCCCGTCTCCGCGGCGGCGAGAGCCACTTTGCAGCCTGAGCTCCTGGGCCCCGTGGGCCCTGCGCCCGGGGGGTGGGGTGGGGGGGCGGCGGCGGCGGCGGGGCCGGCCGGGCCCGCCCAGGGGTTAACCCGTTCCCCGCGGCTGCGGCGCGTGCCTTGCAGAATTCCACCAGAAGAGGGTACAGTTGGAAAAGCTCTTGACGTCAGGCTGGAATCCCTATTGTGTTTGGAAACGGCTCGGGCGCAGGCAGCCCAAGTTCGCTCTCCGCGCGCCTCGGCGGGCGGCGTGGGTCCGGCAGCTCCGGGGCTCGTCCCGCGCGCCCCGGGGACCTGCCAGCCGCTGCCCGCGCGCCCCGGGGCGGAGGACCGCCGCCCCCGGCCCCCCACCCCCCGCGCCCCGCGCCCCGCGCCCCGCGCCCCGGGCGTGCAGGAGGCCGAGCCCACGCGGCGGGCGGCGCCGGCCGGGAGCGGGGTGAGTGCCCAGGGCGAGGCCGGCGGCCGCGAGAGCCCCCCGCCGGCGCGCCCCGGAGGCGCCCGCATGCCCGGCCGCAGGAGCCCCGGCGCCGCGTGCATGCCCCCCCCGCGGCGCGCCCCAGCCGCCTGCCGCCCGCTGTGACCGCTCCAGGCAGGCGGGCGCCGGGCCGGCTCCCCCGAGGGCGGCGCGCGGCCGGGCCCCCCCGGACCCCCCGGGCCCCCCGGACCCTCCGGACCCGCGGCGGCGGCGGCGGCGGGGCGCGGAGCCGAGGCTGAGCGGGCGCTCGCCGGGAGCATGGACGCGGCGGGGGAGCGCAGCCTCCCGGAGCCGGGCAGCCGGGGCAGCCGGGGCAGCCGGGGCTCCCGGGCCGGCGACGACATCGAGATCGTGGTCAACGTGGGGGGCGTGCGGCAGGTGCTGTACGGGGACCTGCTCAGCCAGTACCCCGAGACCCGGCTGGCCGAGCTCATGGGCTGCCTGGCGGGGGGCTACGACACCATCTTCTCCCTGTGCGACGACTACGACCCCGGGAAGCGCGAATTCTACTTCGACCGGGACCCGGACGCCTTCAAGTGTGTCATCGAGGTGTACTACTTCGGGGAGGTCCACATGAAGAAGGGCATCTGTCCCATCTGCTTCAAGAACGAGATGGACTTCTGGAAGGTGGACCTCAAGTTCCTGGACGACTGCTGCAAGAGCCACCTGAGCGAGAAGCGCGAGGAGCTGGAGGAGATCGCGCGCCGCGTGCAGCTCATCCTCGACGACCTGGGCGTGGACTCGGCCGAGGGCCGCTGGCGCCGCTGCCAGAAGTGCGTCTGGAAGTTCCTGGAGAAGCCCGAGTCGTCGTGCCCGGCGCGGGTGGTGGCCGTGCTGTCCTTCCTGCTCATCCTCATCTCGTCGGTGGTCATGTGCATGGGCACCATCCCGGAGCTGCAGGTCCTGGACGCCGACGGCAACCGCGTGGAGCACCCGACGCTGGAGAACGTGGAGACGGCGTGCATCGGCTGGTTCACGCTGGAGTACCTGCTGCGCCTCTTCTCCTCGCCCAACAAGCTGCACTTCGCGCTGTCCTTCATGAACATCGTGGACGTGCTGGCCATCCTCCCCTTCTACGTGAGCCTCACGCTCACGCACCTGGGCGCGCGCATGATGGAGCTGACCAACGTGCAGCAGGCGGTGCAAGCCCTGCGCATCATGCGCATCGCCCGCATCTTCAAGCTGGCGCGCCACTCCTCGGGCCTGCAGACCCTCACCTACGCCCTCAAGCGCAGCTTCAAGGAGCTGGGGCTGCTGCTCATGTACCTGGCGGTGGGCATCTTCGTCTTCTCCGCGCTGGGCTACACCATGGAGCAGAGCCACCCCGAGACCCTGTTTAAGAGCATCCCCCAGTCTTTCTGGTGGGCCATCATCACCATGACCACCGTGGGCTACGGGGACATCTACCCCAAGACCACCCTGGGCAAGCTCAACGCGGCCATCAGCTTCCTGTGTGGGGTCATTGCCATCGCCCTGCCCATCCACCCCATCATCAACAACTTCGTCAGGTACTACAACAAGCAGCGGGTCCTGGAGACGGCCGCCAAGCACGAGCTGGAGCTGATGGAGCTCACCTCGAGCAGCGGGGGCGAGGGCAAGGTGGGGTGCTCCCGCAGTGACCTGGACAGCCTCCCGCCCGAGCCCGTGGGGGAGGAGGGGCCGAGCTGGAGCAGCCGGCTGAAGCTCTCCCACAGCGACACCTTCATCCCTCTCCTGACCGAGGAGAAACATCATAGGACCCGGCTCCAGAGTTGCAAGTGACGAGGGTCCTCCGGGCTCGGACGGACTCGGCCAGTGGACGGGACGGATGGTGTGACGGGCCTGTCGGTTGACTTTCTGGAGGGGCTGTCCTTTGTCCCCTCCACCATCTCCTGAACAGAACTCTCTGAAGGCCCCCTGGGGCACCTCTGGTGAGGCTGGGTAAGACCCCTTTATGTTGCCAGCTCTCAGGAGCCCGTGGGGACAGAGGGGTGTCCGAGAGTCCCGGGCAGCGTGGTGGGGGGGGGGATGGAGGCCATGGTCTGGCTTGTTGGCAGGAGCCCTCGCCCGGTTCTGTATCTCTTTCAATAAAGCCTCCTGCTCTGTTCATCCCACCTGTGTCGTAGGTTCTGTCACAGGCTGGCTGTCCCCCCACCCCCACCCCTCAGGCACAGCTCAGGCATGCCCTGTGCTAGGCCAGGAGGTAGGTGTGCAGCCCCGGGGGGGCTATTTTTAGTTGAGAGCTAATTAAAGGGTTCATACGCAGGGCTCTGCGCGGGGAGCCTTGCCACATTCCAGGAGGCTCTGTGCTGGCGACTCCCGCCTTCTGTTTTCCTTCTGAGGAAAAGCTTGCTCCCAGGAGGGGAAGAGTTCACAGAGCTAGAAGCGCCAAGCGGCGTGGTTACCACTTATTTATCACCTGTGGGAGGCCCTTTTCTCAACTTCTTTCCAGTCTTTTCAGCAGCTCTGCTAGATGGGTATCCCCATTAGACAGGTGAAGAAACTGAGGCCCGAGACCACACAGAGCAGGGATTCAGTCCCAGTTGTGAAGACCCCAAAGCCCATGCGTTCTCTTTGCTATGAGGCGGCCTTGGAACGGTGGTGTGCGCTTGGGTCTACAAGGGAGGGGGGTCTGTAGACCAGGAGAAGCTCTGAGCTTCCTCAGGGTGGATATGCCTGTCCTCCAGCTCATCCTTCCGTCTAGAACCAGTGCCTCTGACGTATCGGCTGGATGGACAAACCTGAGTGTGGCCCACCTCCAGCCTGGTCTGAGAACCCGCAGAGGAACAGAGCCAGATCGGCTTGGGTTTGAAGCCCAGGGAGTGAGGGAGATGCTCTGAGATGTCTTCCAGCTCAAACACTTTTCTCTCCCCCTCCACTCTTTTGGTAGCTGTGTGGTCTCAGGCCCGTTGATGAGCCCCTCTGATCCTCGTTGGGATCATTTGTTAAAGGGGGCTCATTAGAATCTCTCAGAGAACCATGGTGCTTAGCAGGTGCCTGGCACGTAGTAGCTGCTCAGTAAATGGCAGCTGTGTCTATGACTGTGTGCTGACCCGGGGGTGGGACCCACAGCCGTCCACTCTGGCCTCCACGGTCTGGGCTGGGCTTGCATAGCAGCAAGGGGAGGGGACAGGGCACTGTCACACTGTTTGTAGTCAAAAGCAGTCCCCTTGGCACAGGGTTGGTCCCGGCAGGCCCTTCTTTCTGGTTGTCTATCTCCCAGGAACCCCAGAACCCTGTTCTTCCTTCCCCTGATGAAGCAGCTGATGCTCAGAGAGGAGCCATGGTAGGGGAATGGGGTAGGTGATCCCCCAGTCTTTCCTCTTCTCTGAGCCCTGGTTTTCCCACATGGATACAGAGGGATGATTTCTCTGGGCTCCTTCCAGGATTTCAAAGCCTAGGATGTGTTGTGTTAGGGACTCCAGAGGGTGGGGAGGCTGCCTTGCGGTAAGGGGCCTTGGAAGGGAGGCCTTGGGAGCGTCAGGGCCGTCCCTGTGGGGCGCAGAGGCCTGTGCTAATATTGTGTGCCCCTCCCCTGAGTTTCACCAGGGAAATAGTGGGTCAGGTGACCAAAGGAGGTAGAGGAAAGAGGTGGGGCTGGGGGTGTGGGACTCCGTGGAGGTGGAGGGGTCAGGAGCGGGGGATTGTTGCTTGGGGTCCTGGTCTGTGTAGACCTTGGCTCAGTGGGGGCTCTGAAGCCTAAGTGGAGGAGGAAGTTCCTGCTTGGGGAGAGGCCAGGAGGATCCTGGATCAGGAGGTGCCTTCCCCTTGGTTCACCCGGGGGCCGGGTGGGGAGTATCTTTATAGCTACGAAAGCATCTCAGAGTCCAGCTCATCTACTGGAAGGAGGGGACTGTGTCCAGTGAGGACAAGTGATTTGTCTGAGAAACTTCGAGAATTAGGATTAGACTGTGTCCTGGTGTGGGGCAGGCTAGCTGTGGAGGAGTGGCCAGGCAGCTGTGGGAGGCAGGCGGAGGGGCAGCCCTCTCTCCCTGGGGAATCTTTCCAGGGCACGTTAGAACCGCCTGGGAGCTTTACAAAATCCTGGTGGGCAGCCTGCACCCACACCCGTTACATTTGAATCCTAGGGTGACGCCCAGGCACCAGAATTTTGAAAAACTAATGTGCACACGAGTCATCTGGAGATCTTGCTAAAATGCAGACTTTGAGTCAGCAGATCTACCTGGGCCCTTGAAATTCTGCATTTCCAGCAAACTCCCAGATACAGCCGCTGCCTTCCAGGAACCCGGGAGCTGGTCCTGAAGCCACACTTGGAGTATCAAGAGGCCGGAACAGGAGCTGGCAAGCTATGGCCTGGGCCCAAATGTAGCCTGCCGTTTGTACGGTCCATGAGCTAAGAATGTCTTTTACGTTGTTCAGTGGTTTAAAAAAAATAACCAAAGAAAGAATAACGTTTTGTGACACATGCAAAGTGTCTGAGATTCAAATAAGATCTTAGTAGGACAGAGCCACGCCCATTTCTCAGATCATCTCTGGCTGTTCTCAGCTGCAAGGGCGGAGGTGAGTAGTTGTGAAGGAGATCACATGGCTCTCAGAGCCTAAAATATTTCTCATCCCTGGCCCTCTACAGTGACAGTGCGCCAACCCGGGGCTGTGGGAAATGAGATCTCAATCAGGCCTTGAAGAATGAGTAGGAGCTTTCCTGGAAGCAGAAAGAGCTGTACAAGCACCAGAAGCTTCATGAGCAAAGACCCAGGAGCATGGGGCCCACTTCCGAGGGTGGCGGGACTCGTGTCCCTCTCAGTGTCCCGGTGTGTGTGGGGGTCACACCTGCTTTCCTTTCTTTCCTTCTGAGAATCCCCAGGTCCTGGTTGCCTGCGTTGGGTTCTCTGCCAAGCCCAGCCCCTGCTTTGCAAACCTCTGTCCCTCCCTTCCTGGCCTCTCCTCCATAGTGTCTCCAAATCTCGCCTATCCTGGGACCAGAGTCTACACGTCCTCTTCTCTGACGTGGGTGATTCTGACAAACTTCTTGGGACTTGTTAGTTTTGAGAAAGAAAGAAAGAGAGAAAGAAAGACACATTTCTTGGAATCTCGGAATATCCAAGTTAGAAGGAAACGAGGCACCGTCTAGTCCGGGTCTCCCGCCACCACACTGGTGGGAAAATGTGGTACAGCATCCTGTGCACTTGAGTTGGGGGGGGTCCTTAGGAGCCTGAAATTCACAGCTGGATTGAGACCCACCCCCCTTCGTTCACAACGTTGGGAGCAGTGTGCCATCTTGAAAATAGAATTGTGTGTGTAAGTCCGTGTGTGTGTGTGTGTGTGTGTGTAAAAACAAATCATGCAGTGAATTAATTATCCTCAGATCAGGTACCTGAGCCCCAGAGAATAGAAGCAACAGGCTTGGTGGCCGAGGTGGGAACTGCGCCCCTGGTCTGCAGCCCTCCCTTACCCACAGCGCTCCCAGTCTCCATCAGAACCAGGGCCCCACAGGCCCCCACCTAGTGTTTGTGCCCCGAGCTTCCTAATGGTGCAAGATGCTGTCATCTGATCTCTTGGAAAGCCATCACTCCAGATGGGCTGGTTCTGGTGGTGGGTTTTTTTTTTTTTTTTTTTAAGGAAAGATTGAGAAGGAAAACACATTTCCTGAGCAAGCAGCTTTGGATCAGATGCTCGGGCCATGCACGGTTCAAGATCCATGTTGGCAGTTGTAGGAGGTGTCTGGAGCATAAAACCTGCCATCTGGGGTCTGGAGGTATCACCTAAAACAATGAAACAAAATACCCAGAAAACGGGGTGGGGGGAGGAAATCTGTGAAAATGGCAAGACCTGGAGTTATTTCACATACACTTCCTGAAAAGCCCTGAGGGGCAGGTAAGACTCCAGCAGTTGCCCGTGGTTTCCGTAACAGGTGCACATTGCCTGGTTGCAAGGGTTCCTGCTAACGGGGGAGCTCCGGCGGCCCACGGGCCAGGCCGGGGATGCTTGGGAGGCAGGGGGTCCTTGCCTGCCGCTGGGCCTCCTCAGCCCCAGCCCGGGCCTCCCCCGCACCCTGCAGGACCATAATGAAACGTCTCCCCGGGCCTCCTGACATCTGGGAAACGAGGGACAGGTGTTTGCAGAGCGGCCTCCTACCTTCCCGCCGCAGACAGCACAGCTCTGTGCACCGCGCTCCCAGGGATGTATCTGGCGACAGGCTCCTACGGGGATCTCAGCTGTCCCCCTAATCTGAGGTGGGAGCCCCTCTGAAATGCTTCACTCCACTCGTAGCCGCCTAAGACGTTGCTACAGGGACGCTGCGGGTTTCCAAAAGGGAAAGAAATTAAAACAAGGACGAGGGGATGGCGCTCTGTTATGTCACCGTTCCTGATGTGGTCACTGTCCACCGGCCGGACTTGGAGCCAGGGCTGCCATCATCGTGACTTGATTTCCCTCTCTGGACAACCGGCTGGGAAGGTGTGACACTCGCGTGTCAGGTGCCTGTGGTCACGCAGCTGAAGGCAGGGGAGTGTGGGCGTCCGGCGGAGCGCGGCGGGGTGCCTGCCACCCTGCACAGCAGCGTCTGTCCCCGCCGCTGCCCGCCCTTCCGTCGGGCTAGCTGGGAGGGAGAGGGCAGCCCCGCATGGTGTGATGCCTGCGGGCAAGGCCTTGGCTGGCTAAACGGGACGTGTGCTTGCTACGGTGGCAGCCCAGCTCCACGAGAGGGGGCAGAGGGTCACACACAGGCCAGCTGCTGGCACACGTGTTGGCTCAGCGGTCGAGAGCTGGGCTTTGGAAGCCAGGGGCCTTGTCTCTGCCACGTTGGGCTTTGCGTGGCTCCTCGCTGGGTTTGGAGGGCTGGGTCTGACCTGGCCTTGGCCTCGAGGCCTCAGGGGAGGCCCGGCCGGCTCACAGGTGCCCTGCAGCCTCCAGGCGCACTGGCTGCCATCCCTGTCTTGCACCTGAGTGGGTGTGGGAGGTGGGAACCAGAGCCCACGGCACCCCTCCAGCCCCACATAAATAGTGTGGCACTCAAGGCCCTTCAGGCAGGCTCAGAGTACCTCTCCAGCCTCATCTCTCACTGCCCCCACCCCCTCACCCCTCTGTTGCAGCAGAGCCAGAGGCTTCTCGAATCCCA